TATCATGGATTGAAGATGCCGTCTCATGTCCACCCCATCCAGAAACTCTGAGCCGTGCGGCTGTATCACAGCTGAAGACTTGACCAACTCCTGCCAGTAGCCAGCTGTTGAGTTGCGATCCTCTTCTGGAATATGCCAGCACTTCTCAGCTGCACACCAAGAGGTTAGCTGGCTTCACAAGGTGCCCAGGAAAGGTGCTTGCAACAGTTTTCCCCTTCTCTATGATGCACTGCCCAACTACTGGTGATGTGGGAAAAAACATTTCTTTTGGCCATCAGTATATATCAAGACTTAGTCCAAGTAGCAGTATATATGGATGCATGGCAGACAAAAATGCCAGGGGTCTTAATATCCCAGATCTATGGCACATTTTATCGGTAAACTTTTTAAAGAGATTGAAATAAAAGGCATAATCTGCATTCCACTCAAAAAAAAAACAAAAAAACAAGTGTTTTCTTCCATTGTGATCAGTTGCATATACAGACGTTATTAGTATTTACCTTTATTTCTAGTCGAGTTTGGGGAGTGATAGTAATTTGAAGAAGAAATTTCAAAGAGGAATAAAGAATATAAAATACTGACCGTCATAGGAGAACTGACATATTTTAGGAAGAAATGTGTGTGTATGTGTGTTAAAGTTTGACCAGAGACAAGTACTCTTGAGCAGCTATTATTGTTAAATTCACAACATCAGCTGGCTTATTGTTCACCAACTTGGGCTTTACCACACATGCCCAGTATTTTAGACAGTAATGGTGCTCTGCTCCAGCAGAGGCCTGCAAGTATACCTGATGAACTGTAATGTCCCCCAAACTGAGAGATTCTTTAAGTGATGTAGACCCATATTTTCTCTCAACTGTCTCAAAAGTCAGGGATGTCCAAACTCAGGCCTAGAGTAGAAGTGTCCAGCAGCTTTTTGAAGTTTCCCTGCTTTAATTCCCTGTCTGATTAAGGTGATTAAAATTCGGCAAAAGCCAACTAATCACTGAAAATTAGGACTGCTGAAGCAGGGAAACGTACAAATCCTGCAGATAAGCCCTCAAGGACTGAGATGGAAGCTACCAGCTGCATAGCATATTTACCTTAGGTTATGTTTTTATCCGAGTTTGTGTTTTTGTCTGTGTTTGTGTACAGGATAACTTGATAAGATCTAAACGGATTTTAATGAAAGTTTTACAAAAGGTAAAACCAAAGAATTCTCTAACATTGTGAGATAGGGATATCTGGCAGAACCTGCAGTTTCCCCCTAAACCAGAGGGTGAAAGTAGAAAAAAGTCCAGAGGTATTTTACTGAAGACAAAAACACAAGGAAGTCGCAGATTGTTGGTTTGTTAGTAGGATTTTTTTTTTTTTTTTTTTTTTACACCAGAGGTGTACCTCATGCCAAGGACCAATTCATCTTATTTTTGTAATAATCCAGATCATGTGCGAGTTTTAGCCATACAGGCGAAGTAAAGGTGGGCTCACACAGAATGCAATCTGGGGGTCAGAGACGCTTAAATACCGAATTGTAGACACTAGGTCAAGTGCTGGTCAAGATGCTTTGACGCTCTGCACTCTTGTTTATCTGCTTTGTTCTGTGAGAGAGTAGCTTGGTTTTATTTAGTTTTATGAGTTGGAAAAATAGTTTTAATACATAAAAAAAAAAAAAAAGTCCACCTCCAAACATCATCTGTGCAATTAGTTCATCAGGATTATCCTCCAGCTAAAATATATAGCTTTTATTTGAAGCGCCAAACCTCCAGCATTCAGGGTCGGGAATCCCCACTGAAAGCTCTCTAAAGCCAGCAAGCCTGTGCAGGATTTCCCGCTGCCATTCATAGCAGCTGGAAATAATATTTGAGAGTATTTAAGGTTTGTGGTAAAAACTACTAGTACCAGAATATACAACTGAATATTTTTCATCTGCAGGTTGTAACATTTTTTGTTTATGTGGATATTTATAAATTACTTCACCGTAATGATCAGATTTCGCTCTTTTCCTTGTACATGACAATCCATTCTCCTGGCTTTTTTCCTCCTCCTCCTCCTCCTCTATATTCATTTATTTTCCATATGCAGACAGCTGTGCAGAAATGATCACAGCCATCCCCCATAGACTTTGCAGTTAAATCAGAGATTTTGATGTCCTAAACACGTCCGAAGTGAACACACCTCCAGTCACAATTTGGGCTAAATGTGCTGCCGGATGTCTGCGCTTTGTAGTTTTTCTACAAATGTGTCCTTCTTAATCATACATAGAAACAAGTCATCTCTTCCTGTTCTATGGAAGCTGTCCTCTCCATGGTCAGCTGAGAGACACTTTCCATCCAGTTCTGAGTGAGTGTATTTTTGAGTTGTGTACAAAAAAAGTATTGGAAATTCAGATATGAAATGGACATACCCAAGTCTTTTCCAAACATCTGAAACTGGAAATTCCAACACTAAACAACCTAAATGTGAAAAGCTGTTTGAAGTCATCCTGGAACTGGAGAGTTGTGGGATGAAGGACCTATGAGTTTATGCAACAAAAACATTCAGTTGCTCTAAAAACCATGTTTAAATGCAACCCTCAAATGACAATTGAGGGAAATGTAGCATGTTGGAAAAAATATGGCTGAAAAATAAATGCTAGTTTAAAAGAAGCAACTCTAAAGAGGAACAAAGACTAGTCATCAGAAAAACAGAAAACATCAGGATGAAGGAAGAGTTCAAGTCTGAAATAAAATCCTGTTGGAAAAGGACCTCTTGTATTCGGCAGGTAAAAAAATAACAAAAAAGAAAAAAAAAAAACGATAAAACATGTTGCACTGATATCAAGCTTTAAAATGCCCTCTAAAAATATTTATACTCTTTGACTTTTTCCTGAGTTCTCATATGTTTTCTTATTTTTGTGTTAAATAAATGTGCTAAATAAAAGCCAAAAGCTGTGGCATGCACTTGCTTTAGGCTCCTTTGTCTAATATTTATTAGGATATTCTTCTGTAATTACAGCTGATCAGACTGTATTTTTAGGGTAGTTCTCAAACTAGTAGGGTGAACCTTTGCTTCTTCTAGCATTGCCCAGTGTTTTTCTCTGTAGTTTCTCTACCCATCTTAAGAAAGGAGGATAAAACACAAAATGTGGTAATTTCTTCCAAATATTTGCTGTGTCCCTTACGTGGCTTATAGAAAACCACAAACTGGACTTGGACTATAACTTGCTTCTTTTCAAGCTTGAATAAAAGCTAGAAATTAGGATTCGAAAAGTGATATCTGTCCCGTTTTCTCAGCACAACTGAGCCTCAGACTGACGCTGTAATTACTCAGCCTTTCAGTGTTAATAGGAGAGCTGCAATCCCTATTCATTTCTTTGATTGGAAATGGACAGAGCAGTGGTCTAGGTTCAAAGCTAAGGAACTGTCATCCCTCGATCACTTTAAGTTTTCCCCAAACTCCATCTGCTGTTCTGGTGTGTTCTCCAACAAACCTCACGAGCCTCCACTGTAAGTTACACTTAGTTGGACTGTATTGACTAATTAACCATGTAACTTAAAACATAAATTGTTGTACTGAAACTCATTGATGCTTGTTACAGAAAAGGGGGCTGAAAAAATGTAGGCAACATTTTTTTTAAACTATCTTTAAAGAATGGTTTATTTTAAACCACTTTTTAACCTTCCATTAGACAATAATGATTTACATTTGATTTATCCCCTAAAATCCTATAAAAAGATTGACGTATTTATCTATAATGCAAATGTTTTTGCAAGGTACTAAGAACAAGCATTGTAAAGGCTTCTGTCAACTATGCATTTTTATCTTTAAATGGTAAAATAAAAATCCTCGAATTGGATCAGAACATCTGAAATCAATGTATTGTGAAACTGTTGATAATGTGTGTGTCTTCTATGTACTGGGAAATTGCATCGTACCCTAAATTTGCTTTTTGAGAGCTTTCAAAAGCTCTGCTTACAAGGTGTGAGCTTTGAAATGCAAAAAAATACATTGTGATATAGACATCTTTGTGTAAAATCCAACTAATAATAATTAGTGCAATATGTTAATATATGTTTTATAGGGACTCTTTGGTAGGAGATTCTTCTTTAGGGTTGACGACCACAGAATAAGTTCAAAAAGCCAGCAGAAATGTGTGTAAAAGTTGTGCTCCAATGTGTATGTATGCTGAGAGGGTTGTTTTTTGTTTGTTTTGTTTAGATTAGATGAGCTTTATTGATCTCACAGCGGAGAAATTCACTTGCCACATATTGGCATAGAAGTCAAAGAAGGTGCAAACAAGGAGGAAAAAGGTGCATTAAGAATAAACAAAATGTTTTGTTTTTGTGATTTAAAGCAAAGCCAAAGAGCAACAGCGTTATCTCATAAGAGAACCTTTATGAATAAAATCCAGACAGCATGCCTCAGCAGCCTGTCAGCACCTTTTTTTGGAAGAAATGTTAAATACGGATGCACGCCATAAAGCATAAAGTCCTTGTGACAGACTGGAAGGGTACCGCAAACTGGTTGCAGAATAAGTAATGGTTTATGAAACTTTTTCTCCTCCAACTTGTGAGGTTTTTGTTCAGACGATCATTTGGAGTTGAGAAAATAAAATTCATATAAATATTTCATTTTTAAAAACTAAATTAAGTTGTATCAACAGATGTTCAAAGAGCAGCAAAGGTTTGGCCAAAACCCTGCCGTGTTCTACCCGTGTTTCATGTTACCTAAGCATTTTATTTAAATACTCATTCAAGAGTATTCGTTTAGTATTAGGCATTAAGAGTGTCTGAACAGCATATTATTGACATTTAAATTCAAGAGCAACAATAAACTTGAACATACTTACCCAGTGCAGACCCCTGCTACCTGTCAGTCATCAGAAAGAGAAAATATATATCTACAGGGGTTGTGTGTTTTTTTTTTTTTTTTGATTAGGCAAGTAGATTTAAAGGGAAGGACAGATCTGTAAAACCTGAGGAAGTGCTTTGTGCATGGTGAATTGACTGCCTGAATGTGTAGGAGTACTGAGTGGTACATACACGTGGTGTCTAGGTTAGATGATGGTATGGAAGTGGACTGAACATCTGTGAGACTGGGGTCACAGGTTTTAGGAGAAGCAGACGGCTCCTCCTGCTCTGTGTGATCTTCCTTCACCCCCGCTTCATCAGCATCCTCCAAAACTTTTCTTGCCAACCTCTTAGATGTTCGACACGAGCTTTGACCCTGGATGGAAACATTTTAACAAATCAACAACAAAGATAGTATCCATCAAATTCTATACAAACATAAATGATTTCAACAATACTTGCTCTAATAAAGGTTTTTTTCAGTACCTTTGCAGGTTTGGCTGCTGCAGCTCTTCTCTGCGGCCGTCCATCTGATTTAGGCACCTTAGGGCTGGAAAGAGTCTTCAGAGTAATAGCAGCATGCTGAACGATGCAGTCTGTGCCGCAGTAAACTGAATCTGGCAGCGCCTGGTTTGCGCAGCCAGGCCCAGTGCACAGAGGGAAAGAGCTCTCCATCCCACACTGAGGTTCAGCTGCAGGTTCACCCTCAGGCCTCGTCTCCACAGCCTCCCTCTCTTCTTCTTTCTCCTTCACTAAAACAGCCTCCTAGACACAGATCGCCAACTTACACCACAGACTCACTCAGGAAAACATGTAATCTATTGAACCACTGGTCAAAATTAGTACTCCAAAACCCTCCCAGAACAGTTATTAGCCCATCCCCATCATCTTGGTTTAACTACACTCTGAGAAATTAGTAAAGGGTTAACAAATCAACTGAAATCCAAACCTTGAGAACTTGCTGCTGCTCCTCTTGTTGCTCCGATCCCACATCAGGAGGACTTAGTGTCAAACACTCAGGAAAGCTAAGGTCAGGCTCAAGCTGAGACTCTAAGTGGATGATGGTCTGCCTCGTGGTGGTACAGGTCAAACACATGTAGTCTTGCTCTTTCTCTTCTATCTTCCAGTCCTGCGTCTCACTAATACCGACACAGGCACTATGAAACCACTCCTGGCAGCTGTTACAGCAGATCATGAACCTGAAAGAAGAGGTTTTCAGGAAGTGAAAAAGACAAATATAGCAGGTATGCAAACCAGTTAAGAGGCCTTGCTACCAGAAAAGAGCAAGTACCTCTTAATATGCGTCTGGCTGCAGACGAAGCACATGGCGCTGGAGTCATGTTCCCCGCTCTCTGTGACGCTCTGTGTCTCTCCTCCACTCTCACCCTGATTCTGGTCTTCTCTCTCGGTCTCATCCGGTGCATCAGCAAACTGGCCATGAGTTAAAGCACTACTTTGATTAAAGTCACTGTCTACGACAACGTAGCCTGCGCTGGCTGACTGCAGAGCAGCATTCAGAGTTATATCAAAGTCGGTAGATGTAGATTCCATTTCAGGATTGTTATGCGGTTCATTTTGGATGCTCTCTTCATGTAAAAGTTGCTGCTCATCTGTATTAACAAAGATGACATCATCTTCGTCATCCTCATTATCTGCTAGAATAGACTGAAGCTCCACTGCCCTTCCCCTGCCTCTTGCCTTACCTTTCCCTCTACCTCTCCCCCTGCCTCTTCCCCTTGCTTTGGCTTTCCCTCTTCCACCCTTCCCACCACGAGTCTTTGAGCCTCCTTGGCTGCTGCTGCTGCTGGCCAACTGCTCTTTAATTTGCAACAGAGTCATTTCATCACTGTCCTCTTCTTGACTAGAGATCAAAATAACATTGTCGATCTGTCTTTCTGCAGTGCTGTCAGAAGCAGCAGGCTGTGTGAGCTCCGTGTCATCCAGATTATCAGGTACCTCATTTTTTTCTATTAGCTGTGGATCGGCAGGCAAAAAAAAGTCTGGAACTGTTGCGGCATCAGTCAGTGGCAAGTCCTCCCCACCACCTAGAAGAGAGAAAGCAGTGTGGAAAGCAGATCCAAAGTCCTGCCATAAACTGGGATCGAAGGTCCCTCCAGCAGAGGTCTCCAATGGTTCCTTGCTATCCTCTGTCACAGGTGAGGAAGGGGCAGACCACTGCAGGTCGTCTATTACACTCCGAGTTGTTCGGGTATTTTTCTTTTTGCTCTTGTCTTCTGTGTTTGTCGCAGCCGCCTGATTGGCTCTTCGAGTTCTGCCCCTTCGAACCACAGGGGGGCTGTTAGATAGGTCTCCAACCTCCTCCATGAACTCCCGCCGAGCAATGGTCGACCTTCTGAAGCCCCAGGACTTTTTAACCTGTGACAAGGATGGCCTGCTGACAGAGTCCAGCCCGTCTGATTGGCTCTGCTGTTCGTCTACAGAAAAAAAAAAAAGAAACAAAACAGAAATAACCAAAAACAGAACCAATACCTTGGTCTTTTAGCCGTTTGCTCGTGAAACTCACCCACTTACCTGTTGTACCTGAATTACCATCATCATTAACTGCACTGGTCTTTTCTATTGAGTCCATGCTGACATCTGTAGGCTGCAACCCTGTCCATAAACAATTTAGGTTTAAAAGAAAAAATCTGTGGGACGTCCAGCTCAGTTGATATCGATTTGCACTATTTTGACAAGGGATACATTTGTGCGGATATAACTGTCCTCTTTATACTCAAAACACTTTCTTTTTTCTTTTTTACGTATTCTGAAAAAAAAATTTTAAATAAATTTCACAGGTTTTCAACTCACATCACCTCAACTTGGAATAGTCATTTGATTGAAATCATATTTTACATTCACATAATCACATGTGAACTCCCAGACTGGTGTAATTACTCTGC